GGGTTGTTTTGGACCAGTCTATTGAGTGTCCTGTATTCGCCATGTGTTAAGCGAGCTCAGACTTTTGGATACATGGACCTTTATAAGCGAATTTATGTTGGCATAGTCTCTTCTGGATGGGTCGGCAGGTCTCCCCCATATAGGCCTTACCATATGAGCACAAAACCTTGTAGTTTCATCGGGGTCGCAGGACAGTGATCCGAGGACTTCTTCACATAATTAACCAGTCTTCCCTACGCCACAATCTTCATTCGGTTTCTGATGAGACCACAACACGAATTCCTTCCAACCAACTTTTCCCTCGAAATGGAAAGTCATGTCACAATATATCACTGAAGAATTCTTCGAAACCCTGTTTAAAGTAGTTGTTCGACCTTGCTTTCGAAACTTGGTTATATTGGCAGGAAGGCCTAGAGGAAAGCACTTTGGCCGGCGTCCATAGTATGCATGATAATTTCCTCTAGGTCTTCCTAGCAATATGACCGAATTGCGAAAACCAGGTAAGGCAACTACTATACCATGTAAAAAGAGCGCGACAATACACTAAGCCACACCATCTTGGTCTTCATACCTTCGATTTCTTGTTTATGCTGTATCCCTACCGCAAGATGAAAAAAAATATTGTAACTCGTTATATATGATCAAAAATTATGTCAATTGCAGTGCGATTCCATTGTGAATCGAATTAGTTAAAGGGTTTTTTTGAGAGAAAAATTGACTAGATATTTTAGATATCAATAATTGGATGAATGTTTCGGTCAATATATTTTTGTAACTCATTCTAGGAACAAAATAAACACCTTACAATTAATAGCTCGCCACTTTACTTTAATGGAGTATTCAAAATTGTTGAATGAGTCGAAAAAATGAGGTTTCGAACTCGGATTTGGCAAGTTTCTATTTCCGTACAAGTTAGTATTTCGCAAATTCATTGAATTTTATAAATTAAATAACAGCCTGATTTTTATATTGTATACTATATTTGAAGAAAATAGCAATCACGAAACTTTACCCCACAAATATTTAAATAAAAGATATAAAGCAAAGATTGATGGGATCCAATTTAGTGCCAGAGAAATCTAGCCTGATACACTTAATAGAATAGAGTTAATCGCACTACCTTTGTCGTTGACTGTATTATATGAGGAAAATGTAATTTGGCAATTGCAAAGTACTCACGCCCCCATATCCATGCGATATTTAGGGTTTGTAATGGATATATATAACAAATAATAAATTCATTCTAACTGAAATTTAGCAACTCAAATGAGAAAATGTGAACAAAGGCCTAAAGCTTGTTGTTGTAGCGCTTCGCCTGTACAATGCTTGCCTGGCGAAAGATAGTCCTATCACGAGCAAAGTAGACCTCAATCTGTGCCAACCGGGCATCAAACCTGCCAGCTCTTGCCATGGCGATCATCAAGGCCTGGCAGGCACTAGTAGGCCCGTGCCATTGACCAGGAGGTCGGCCACTGGCTGCGACAAGAGCATGCAAAGAAAGCGGAGACTGGTATAAGTTTGGCGTGTCGGCAAACCAGCGCAGAAGTTGCCGATGCAATCGGATGCCGGAGGATCGGTTAAGGTTGGCGCTACAAGTAGGCAACAAAAGTTTATGAAGGCGTGAAAACGGCTATACGATAAAATAGTAGAAAAAATAAAGGGCTTCTCAAAACGATTGGAAGACTAATTATCTATGGGTATAAATGCATCCGTATGTGAAACTAAGGTAAAATTTTGCATTGTATTTTACTATCAGATTTACGGGATACGGAAAATATTACTAAGTATAATGTTTGATGAATCTTGACGTGTTAGTGTTAAGCACACTTTCATTGTC